TAAACCATGATTAACTTATCTCAACTTTCCTTAGCAGTAGCAGACAAAGCAAGAGCAATTTGATTAAAGGCGATAAACACGGGTGACCATTAATTTTCCATCAGGACAGTAAAGGAACACTGAATCATCTGATATTAAGGACAAGCATGAGTTTTACATGCAGTGACATCATACTGTAAAAACAAAGTTTTCGTGATATCCACTGTGCTATAGAATTTAGCAACTCAGTACCCTAACAGCCATGAAGAAAAAGATGCTTCTCTCTCTCTAGGTTTCTCCTTTGCTGCACCAAAGACCAGCTCCTAAATAAGTGATAAATAGAGAATTAGTTACCAAGGCATATACCTTCATTGTCCTTGATTGTGAAGATCATCTCAGTTCAAAACACTTGGTTTTTACATTTTAATATTCAACTGACTGATCTCTTTTGTCACTCAGAGACCAAGAATCGGCCCTAGGGAAACATCAAGTGAAGTCCTTTCTCTTAACAGCATTTTTACCAAGGCATCAAACCAGTTACATTTTACCTGCTTTTCAGCCTTGAACAAGATGAACTTTAAGTTTGATTATTTTTACCTATACCTCATTAAGTGCCAGCCACTCACATGCCATTATATAGCTAAGAATAATCTGTATATGTATCACCAGAAACATTTATAGCAGCATACTACTCAACTAAGTAACACTCTTAGGCAGTAGTAGATGTGATCAAAGGGGGACAACATATATTTGTAAACAGAACTCCATAACTAATCATCTCAGCACTACAAGCTGAATACTTCTTTTCCAGCCCTAAGGCAGGAATGCATACGTTCAGCTCCCAGCAGGCACTGCCAGGCCAAAGAGCAGTTACTGAGGTTGCACTGGCACTTCCTGGTTACTGAAGGATTCAGGTACGCTGAATTCAACACTTCAGAGCATGAAGATACCACTGAAGAACTTCACACCATGACAACAAAAATTCATATTGACTATTCATGCAACAGCTGATCCAAATACAGTTACATGCTTTAGATGCTGACGCACTGACTATACAATATTTGAGTACCGTCTATGCCTCTTGTAAAAGATCATTTACCTCTTCCACCACTTCTAAAATAACCTTATCAGAAATCACATCCAGTACTGAATTACTTTTTCCCCCACAACAGCACCTATGAGGGTCTTTGAGTTGTCTGTTCCCAGACTTCCCCAGAAGATAAATCAAGACAAGGATAAAATTTACAGTTTGTTTTCTATCTTATTTCTCTAAAGAACCTCCTTCTCCAGAATGTCCATCTATCACCTTTTGTTCTTTCAGAATTGTCAGGGAGATGGGAGTTCATTTTTAGTGCTGATAAAGCATAGCAAAAGAATACTGAAGTTTACAGTTATCAGCCATGAGCTGCACTATCACGTGCTCCAATTGTCAAGACTGTTCTCTAATTCTAGAGAATAAATTAAAAAAAAAATTAAATACAAAAATTAAACCAAAATCAACAACTAAAATTGTTAGCATAAAACCACAGTAACTATTTCTCACTCAGCACTTTTTGTAAGACACTTATGGCCTACCAGAACAGACAGATGATGCAATTAGGCAAATAAATTCAGGAAACAAGGCATCCAGGCGATCTTTATGCAACATATAATTGCACATACGATGAAACTATTTATTTCTCTGTATCTAATTATTTGGCATCTAACAAGAAAGAATTAAGTCCACAACAGAATCCAAATGTCATGCCACCTACTAGGCTTAGCTCACAGACAACCAACCAAGCTCCCCTCTACAACAAGAGCAAATTATAGATGCTGTTCAAATGTCAGGCTCATCATCTGTAAGAACTGGCAAATTTAGCCAAGAATACAACTAAAGAGAAAGCTTGAAAACAAATAATTCCCAGAATTTAGGATCATGTTCAATAAAATACTCCTCCTCATCATTCAGAACTGTGACTACAAGCAGGAACATGGGTTCACATCATCATTTTGTGCCTGACCATACCTCCTGCCAGACAGTCCCTTCCCAAGCATTACTCCCTCAAGAACAAAACTGGCTGGCACTGGGAAGTGTCTCACAACACAAGACCCACCAGGCTGGCACGTAAGGCATTCCTTTTGGAACTGACAGATGTAGGTTGTAAGTTGTCCCAAATAGCTGAAGGATCTGAATCCAAATCTCAATGTATTGCCCAGATACTCGAACTTACTGTGTTCCCCACTTTAAAGAACAGAACCATTCCCTGTACAATTCTGCATTACCAACAGTAACTACTTACTTTCTAATGTAGCCGATGCAAACATCTAGTTGGGCCTTTTTTTCTTCCTACACAGCTTTGTATTAATTGCAATTAAACACCTTTGCTGTATAAGCATCTCTTTACCTATAGGTACTCACAGCTTATTGTTTCCATTTAAAAACAAAACAACAACAAAAAAACCAACCAGAAAGCCACAAAGCTCACTTTCAAATAGCCTGGTATATGAACTACTATACAGATATTTACAGTTTTTTATAGTTTTTCCTCTTTGGAATTTTAAAATAAAATTTTAAAATAACTACACCTAAAACATTTTATAATATAACTCAATTGAAAGTGCAGGAAGGAGAATGCACAGACAAAACACTTCTGTCACAATTGCTAAAAAACTGAGCCAGATTATAATAAAACATGGTACCAGCCATTGTACCCAAAGTTAAATCACTGAACACTCCCCTGAAAACAGTTTCTGCACTCACAGGTGTACCAGCAACTGTTTGTTCATTAATAGAAGGAAAACAACACAACGGTACTTAATTAATATTTACAAGTATACATTGAGGCTTTCTAATGAATGACCAAAGTTGTAATTATACTACTGTTCCAAAAACCATAATGTCGAGTCCTTCCACAACGCTACCTATCGCACTGAGAAAATTAAAATAAAGAAAGAAAATAGAAGCCCGTTGCTAGAATACTTAAGGATTTTAACCACAGCATATGAATACAAACATGGATCCTGCCACCTAAGAAGTAGCAAATCGCTGGAAATCTTAGCCTACAGCATTCTGAAAGCCCAACATTGTAAAAGAACGCTTGTTAATCACAAGTGTAAACTGGAAGAAAAAAAAAATGAACAGCTGAAACAGGTAGTCAGAACTGTTAATACTTGGTGCTAAGAGCCAGTCTTTGACATCCCAACACAATTTACATCTGAAAATTCTGCGGGATTTTTAAAAAACTGCAGCTTCGAACTCCAGCAAGAGATTTTAATTACAAAGCACCAAACTGGGTGTTAAAAAATATGGTTACGCCTATACAAAACAGATCCTTACAAGCTTCAGACTACATGAAGTGTTCTGTGTCCACAATCCTCGGTATGAATGGTAACCTCTGCAACCTTGTTTAGTGTTTCTATATCAGGTATTGTTGTGGTAATGAAAGACATCTGACACTCCTCAACGGCCTGAGCAACTACTCCGAATTCCGAAGGCAGTAAATCGGTTCAGTGAAGAAATATTTCCATTTCCATTTTTAAGTAAGCTCAGTTCTTTTGAAACTAGTTTTAATGAGATTCAGGTAAAGCCATCATAATCTTTGCACCAAGCACTACTGTCCATAGCCATTCTACAGAACTCAAAGCAACATCAGAAGCACTGGATGTGAAGTTCGGAAGCATTACTTTGAGAAGAGTTAGGCGATCACGTACTAGCACTTAACTCTGTATTACTGTAATAACAGACATGTTAATTAAATTTAACAATCTACTACGCTGGCTCAAAGTGCTGCAATATAAATATTTGATGCCTCATTAATCCACCTACAATACTAACCATTAATTAACCTTTTAACACGTGAAATACAGAGGGCTTTTGGGACCACAGCATGTCAGAAGACAGTTAATGTGTATAAAACACAGCCAGGCTCGAACAGCAATCAAAAACTACCCCATTTTTAAGAAATTCAGGAAAAGCATCTCGACCCTCCAGAAGAAAGGTCTTTAGAAAGCACAAGAAGCTGCACACTGAGCCAGAGGGCATTTACAACAACACCAGAACTTCTTTAGAAGTTTGCCTACAGACACCCAAATGTCAACACCAATGCAAGTATTTTGTCATAGCCAGTCAACCACGTAGCTAGCTTATGCTCAAGTAATTCCACTGAAGTGGCTTTAAGAATTATCACTCAAAAACAGTAATAGATGCTTCCCTCAAATACATCCCTCATTATGTTTTTTTCCCCGAGATCTGTCTCATGGAAGAGATAAGTAAGAAAGTTATTTTAAACGGATGTGCATATGCACTGTTAAAGTCAGTGGTTTACCAGAAGGCCATACCCAGAAACTCAGGTTTCGGTCGGTGCCGTCCGACTGGAGGAGCTCCTAGTCTCCATGCTCTTTGTTGCTGCCCGCACACAACGCGGCTCCTCAGTCAGGAGAGCACTGCCGCCACAAGAACGCAATCCTTACGGGCTTCCTGAGCCACTAAAGGGCATAAAACACGCTGGAAGTCGTACCTACAGCACCTAATTCAATCTGACCCCGCAAACCCTTCCAACACAGCACAGGGCACACAGACGTTCCACAGGGGCATCGCTCCGCAGCGCCGCGCCTCCAGCAGATCAGGCGTGCAAGAGTTTCCGACCTCGGAACGCGAGCACACGCGTCCTCTCACACACAGGCAGGGCACTTTCCTCCCGGCCTCGGCCCGCCAGCCGGCAGATCCGGGCCAGTGGGCTCCCAGCAGCCAGCCCGGCCCGGCCCGGGCGCCCCCGCGCTGCGTGCAGCGGCTGCGAGCGCCCGCAGCACAGACACCTGTAGCCGAGTGGCCCCCGCGGGCTGGGTTCCTGGGCCACGGCGCAGCCCGAGCCGGCGGAGAGCGGGGATCGCCGTGGAGCCCCCGAGCTCGACTCAGCCTCGCCACCCGCTCGGCTCCGGCCCGGCCGGACGGCGGGCCTGCGCCGCGGGGAGGCTCCCGGGTCCGGCGGCTCCGCGGACGGGACCTGTTGCTCGCACGCCAGGCGTTGCGCTGCGCTCACCTTTTTTCCTTCCTTGCTGCAGCTATCGCCGCCACCAACACGCTCCGTCCGAGTCGTCCGCTGGAAGTCACAGCCTCCCGCGGAGTCTCCCTACCGAGTCCGCGGAGACGCCCGGCCGCAGCCCCCGTGGAGCTGCGCAGCCGCCGCCGGCCCCGGCCCGGGTCCGCCCCGCCCGCTCCCAGCTCCGGCCGCCAATCCCCGCCCCGCCCGGCCGATGCGCGCAGGCGCGAAGCCGCTCCCGCCGTGCCGGCGCTGGCCGCCAGACAGGCCGGGGGCGGGATGGGGTCGGTTGAGCGCGCGCGCCCCCTGCCGGCCGGGCGGGGCGGGGCCGCTGCCAACGGTCGCTTCCAGCGGGCGCCACCAATGGCTGCCGTCGAGATTGCGCGGGGAGAGGAGCTGCCGCCCCAACTCTGGTCGAGGGCCGGTGCTCCCGTTCCCATCCACACTCATGCCCCGTCATTCTGCCACAGCTCCCTCTCTTCCCCCGCTCGGACACCTCTGTGGGAGCTCTTCGCACCTTGATCGGAATCGGTTTGCCTGCCGGCCCGTGCCCAGGCACCCCGTGCCACCGGCCCTTTTCACCGCTGCTCTCCTCCTCATCCCCCCTGTTCTCCCTGCACCGCTGCTGACAGACAAGCTGGACTGGCCCCAGCCAGGCTTGGAAGGAACACATTTGCTCACCTCTGAGAACCCGCCTGTGGGTGGGTGAGCGGGGGCTGAGGCGCGGAGGCGGCCCGGAACGCGGTGTGTGGAACGGCAGAGGTAAGCGGGCATTACGAGCAGCTTTACCAGGATGTCTGCATCAGCCACGGTGTTTCACAGAGCCACAGACTTAAGCACTGCAGTTTAGTGTGAGCGAAACTCTGTATTCCCTCCCCTGGATTTTCAGGCTAGCCCGCCTACGTCTTTATCTATGGCATTAAAAGAAATGCTGTACTTAAAAAACCAGAATATAGAAAGGCTTTCATAAGCCACTAAAAAGGTCTAAACAGATACCTTTCCATTGTTCATCTCTTTTCTCTTCAGTTTAACCGTTTACAACTTCATCATTTAACTCTGAATCGAGTCATTCTCCATAATGAAATTCAGGTAAAGACCTTCAACTTCTTACAGTTCTACTCTGTTCTGTGCTCTCTTTGGATCCCCTCTAAACACACAAATTTTTTATGTCACAAAACCAGATGCCGCACTTTTCTTACTGTATAAACTCTGCTTGACTTCATGTTAACATAAAAGCCAACCAGTTACCTATGAATGAAACAATGAAAGTATTCTGCCTTTGCACAATGTGGCTCAAACTTCCTGGGATGTCTTTTTGTTGGCAATTTTCAGAATATCTTTTTGTTTGTCCTTCTCAGGATAGTAATGCCTTGCTGTCTTGCAACTGCACTTAACTGGATCTTTCCACTTTGACCGGTAAGTGGGAAGTGGAAGAACTGCAGCCCTACGTGACGTTTAAGTATCAGTGGATTGCAGTTAATTACTTGGAAAAGGAAAATGAAGGGAAAATGTGATTGTAGTTATTCCTGTCTGAACAGAACCAAGTATCATTCTTTTCACCTTCATTTGGAAATAGTGGAATTTCACATGAACCTTTTTAAAAAAACTTTTTTGGCAAAAGGTCTGAGAACTTCTTCAAAATACGATACTTGTCTATAAGATATAATGGCTGCAAAAAGTATGTAGATTTAGCAGTTGACTGTTCACATCGTCATCCAAACCCATCTCTAGTTTAATGTCTTTTCTACATGCAAGGCTAGGATAAAGAGATTTAAAATAATAACGAATTCCGATTACAGCTTCCCTCAACTGATAGCACTTCTTCCCTCACAGAAAGTCTTATTGCCTCTAGTTTGCATGTTGCCCTAAAGCCAGTTTTTATACCATTTTAACTGAATTTTCTTCAATGTATTGTGCAGTTTTTCATAGTGCAAAGAAGGATTCACAACAGTTCTAGAGTTTCTCTTCTTCCCACTTTGTTCTCTTGAATGTGTAGCTGAAGTTTTCATCTTTTGCCAGAATGGATTGCCAGACCAGGTTAAGACTGAGCTTGGGATATCTCTTGGATATATCTGCTTAAGGATCTATTTGTTTCTTTGGTAACCAATCTCCTCCCTCTGGCTTTCACAATCCCTAATATTAGCCTTTGCCCATCTGGCAAATCCATTCATAAGATGCTTGAATGAGGAGGACTTGGCTAATTCTATCCAACAGATTAAAATATTCCATCAGGCCAAGAAGTTGTCATACCTGAAAACATTTCACAACAGAGCACTGGATCAGCAGCATTATTTGTAAAGCATCAGACAACTTTTCTCTTTCAAATCATTATGTTAGCAATTTAAAAGGACGGATCTGCTGGTTTGTTTTGCCTTGTGGATGCTGTTTGTTGGCATGCTGAGAATACAAAAACTGCTGAGAGAAAATCAACATCTTGAATTTAACAAAATACGCAAATTAGAAAACAGATACAGAGAAAGAAGGCGAATAAGAGGATGAGGAAGGACAATTAGAAGACGACTGACTGGGAAAATCAGAGCTCTTAGTCATCTGTTTCATCTTAATTGTCTAGCTGTTCACATGAGGATATAGTAACACAGTTCTCAAAGGAATTTGAAAAATGACTTACCAAAGTATTATAAATAACCCATTCCATCTATTCTTCAAAGTTTTCAATATTTACGCAGAAATTAATAGAAAATAAATATGCATCTAAAACCTTTTTTTGAGTTTGGATCTTAGAACACCTTGATTTTAGAGGTTTAATTTTAACAGTATTATTATCAGTGGTTGTGGGATCACAAAAGCATGTTTGGAGCTACAGAAACGAGGTATTAAGGCAGCCTTACTACTGAAGAACATTCTTTTTCTAAGGCTGATGTCTTCATTCCAGAAACAAATACATATATTTTTACAAAGAATATGTTTACTTTCAGTTATCTGAGTTTTACATTTTAGTGTCACTGTTGGCCAGCAAGGTGATGACATAACTGCTGATCAGTCTAAATCTGGCTGATTCTAATCAATGGAAAAATAAATGTTTTTGGCAAGTCCAGACATCATCCAAACAGGACAAAGTGTTTTCTTTGAAACCATTGCCCTCTGGAAGGAGAATAAAAAATCACAGAAGGATTAGGTAAAAATTCCCCTTTATGTCACTGTGTAGCTGAACAGAAGTTTTACCCATGCAAAAAGGAATGCTCTTTCAAAAGCCCACAGAGTCCACAGTGCCTTTGCCAGTGAGGGCTGTAGGAGAACTAATCCCCATCTGTCTTCCCCATTACTCTCCTCCCCTTTATCTCAAAACTCTTTATCACTAAACTCACTGAACAACTATTGTACAACAGATGTACTTTCTCTTCCAACTTCATCTTGGATTCCTTCCAAGTCGGTGTCATCCCTTTTTTATCTGCCAAAATAATTCTTTTTTCTGCAATCTCTAAAGAATTCTTGCCTTCCTGATATCAGTCTGTATCCCATCTTCTTTCTTAACCTTTTCTTAACCCATTTTTGTTAACCTTTCTCCTGCTTTTGTTGTTATCTTAACACCCTTTCCTTCTTGATCTTTTATATTCTTGCAAAGTTTTGAGAAATTGTCTTATTTTTTTCTCTCTGATTTTATGTGTGGTATCTATTTAAATAGGCTGATTTCCTTCTGTCTCTGGGAACTTCACAGGAATTCTTCCTTTGGCTTTTAGGTACTGAGTGTCTGTGTCTTGGATAATCACGTTTAAATGTCACTTTTAACAGAATGTGAATGAAAGTGAGCTGCTTCCTACTTATCCCTGTGTTGTAGGAGAAATAACAATATCCTTTCTATTTTGATATATAACTATATGATATCTCCTGACTACAAATCTGTCGGTTGTTTTAAATAGGACAGATAAATACCATAATTCCAGAATCATAGGACTTGGAAAGGACCTCTGGAGATCAGCTAGTCCAGATGAACCAGTCATCTGAAAGAATGTAATACCAGTACTAGTGTACCTATAGGGCTAGCAGTGTCCACTGTCTAGTGTTTCAAAGAAGAGTGCAAAATTCAGAAGTCCAGGAGCTAGGTTATTTATCTGGCAAGAAAAAAAAATGTCTTGGCCTCAATGACACATCAACAGAAACCCCGAATTTCAAAATTAATACAGCAAACCAATGTTCTTTCAGCTTTCTTTGAATTTGGACAGCAAATATGAAGGATTAAAATATGGTCATGCTCTGATCCTTGATAACATCTAGAACTATTCCTTCCTTTCTTTCCAGTGACTGCATTTTGCATTCATGTTCATCTGGTGGCTGAAATATTTTCCTTTCTGGCTTCTCTTGTCCTCTGCTACTTCTTAATCCTTCAGATCCAAAATTGCACATGAAGTCTCAATATTTACAAATGAGGTCACAAACCTAACAGCAGCTCACCAGTAAAAATATGTTAATATCCAGAAGAGAAGTGTTAAGTCTGGCAAGTGTTACTCGTGTCTTATTGAGGGGTCTTAAACACTGATACAGGAACCATACCCAGAAGATGGGTAAAGCTGGAAGTGGAGTTGTTGATGGAATGGCTTGGGGCACAGTGTTTAATCCAGAAAGATAGTAGATGATAAAAATAATATTTTCTAGGCATCATTTTACCTTTCCCTATTGAGTTATATTCAAATAAATGTTTACCTCATCTATCTGTTTCTTTATATCTGTTTGCTGCTTCTAGATCATCCAAGTGTAGTTTATGCTCTTCTTTGCAGTTTACTTTTATACTTGTCTAACATTTTGATATTATTTCAGCCATCAGTGTGCCTTCCTCTGCACAGCTGTCCATTGTCAAATTGATCTAGAATTAATCTATAAGGATCCAAAGTAGACTGATGCATCTCTGGAAAACTGTCTCCTGCTTTGCCATTTGTACCAGTTACTAATTTGAATTAAAATCCACTTTGTTCTTCCCCGTTTTCCCTTTTTGAGGCTGGATGCATTTTAAAGTCCAAAGTCAAGACAGGATTTTACTCAGAATTTAGTGTGAACCTGCCTTGGTGTGAACGTGCACATACCTTTTGCTGAGTTTGTCTGGCAGTTTGATTACTTTTTTTAATCTGTTATTAAGAGCAAAAGCTATTTTTTCACATCTACTTTTTTTACCCTGTGGAGCTTCTTAT